AAGTTGGGGAGATTTTGTAACACTGACAATGACCATACAATCAACATCAATAACAGAATCACAATTGAAATGGAAACATAATGGTGTGGATATAGTAGTATGGAATGGACAAAGTAGTATTACTATTACATCAGCTAAACCATCAGATGCTGGAATTTATGAATGTTATACTACTGAACAGCAACGACAAAATGGAAAAAATGGTTTTATGAGACTTATTGTGAGACGTAAGTTAACATAGTTTTACATTAATAATTTAAGTCATTTCATTACTACTCATTTGATTAAAGTCTTGTAAATATAACTCTATTAAACTTAAGCAGAGCTGGATATTATTCTCATTCAAAACAATTCTAGTTGGGCTGACTCCAGTTAACACATAACGTAACACTAAAATAATACATGATATCATACATATACAAATGCATTCATAATTATGGTTTTCTTATCTGGGTCAATATTGTCAAATGACAGTCGTCTTTGTTGTTTAGTATTTGTCGTATCCCAACAATCCAACAAACACACGTCTAATACGTGAACTTATTCAGAAATTAATAAAAAACCTTTGAACTGGCTTTCAAATTTACCATCCATATTATTGTAAAAATACGACGCGGTTGCAGTTCAACTCTAAAATGACAAAAATGATGGATATCATTCACATCTAATGTTTGCATGCGATCGAAAACATTTGCTTACATTGAAAAACAGTTGAATTTTACTTGCATTACATGACAAATCAATGAATTGATATTTTGTATATTATTATAATCACCTCTTAGTAATAATTAACATTGTGCCTGAGCTTTGATGCCAGCAGTCACCCCAAAATACAATGACTTTTCCTCAAAAAATGATATCGAAGAAATAAAGACATACGGATGAATATACCAGCCGTGTTTTTAATATAAATGTCTATATGATCAAACTATTTTTAGTTGGGTACTTATTGATTGGCCTCCGTGCGTGCGTCCATGTCCGTGCGTCCGTGCGTGCGTCTGAACTTGTATTTTAGAAATGCCTTGACCAGCTACATTCAAACTTCGCACATACATCAAACATAATATCATACATATGCACATCAATTTGTTTCACGATCTGATCCTCACGGATATCAGCTGTTTGCAGATGGATTGTGTTCAAACTTAGTACATACATTATGGGACCTTGATGCATGCCATTTTTTTCAGATCGGACTCAAAATGGCCGACTGGTGGTCATTTAGTTTTAACTATTGCTGTTC